CGTGGATATTATGAGGGTTGATTCCCTGCATCAGAAAAACCTGCGAACCTGCTGATCCTGTGGATTAAAGGTACTGCAGGCCAAAAAGCTCCAGTCGGAGCGAGCATTGCAGACTCTCTTCCATGGGGAGGCTTTCTCCTGTGCGAGCTCAGTCCATATCCGTGAGAGTGTTTGTGTTGGCATTTATGAAAGTGAAGATGCCCCATTCTTGCCACTCAAGATGACTCACAAGACCAGAGTTGTGGCCACTTATGGTGTGAAAGCCGTCGGTAGGATGCCCTTTCAGCACTCAAGGACCTCTGGCTGAGTCCCCTTCACACAGCAGATCATCCTCAGTTGGGGTAGGGGTCTCTGATTCATGCAGACAGTGCTCCTCCTAAGGGATGCTGCAGTGCTCGTCCCAGGGCCTTCCTTGTTCACCTGCCAGCTTAGTGCTCATCTCTTATGCACATAATCCCTGGTTGATGCATGTGATTCACCAGCTTGGGCCCAGAACCCAGGGCCCCCAAGCCTCCCCTGCTTAAATGCTTCCTGGGTGGCTGGTGGGTGGCCATGGAAACTCGTCTTCTCATGACAGTCAGGCTTCAGTCACGTCTCTAAGTCCCTCGTCAGTCACAGAGCGTCTTTTTCTGTCCTCTGTTTTCCGTCTCCCAAAGCGTTGCCTTATCTACGGCTTTCTGTTTCTTTTCTTTGGTGTGGTTGTTGCTCACATGCGTGGGTCTCGGCTGATGCTTAGAAAGGGGCCAAAACTTGATGACAATGTGACGTCTTTAGGAGACACAAAAGCTTACAAGTGCAGCTCTATGCCAAGGTTTAACGAATGGATTTAGCATCGCTGCAAAATGAAGGCCTGACCTGGTTTTATTGTGAGTCTCCTCTGTAAAGCCAGATGGTTAGATAGACTTGTGTCGTCCTTTTAAAGCATGGCCACTGTGAGGCCTGTGAGTGCGGATCATCTTACCCCCCCACTACAAGCCTGCAGCCTCAGCCATTAGTTTGTTCTGAGCTCTGGAGATCGCTCAGGCCCCTCGCGGGAGCAGGACAAGCAACCGGGCGATGTTGTGTGGCCCCACACTAACAAGTGTCACAGTGATCCGAAGCAGTCCTCCCCCTATGTGAATGCCATGTGAGAGGCGGCTCCATCCATGCCCCAGCCACCTCCGCACAAGGCCCTCCATTGACTTCTAACCTGATGAGGGACCACGGGAGACAAAGGGTGCCTGGGCGGGACCCGTCCCTCCGACAAGCCTGTGAACAAACGCTAACACGGCTGCAACTGTCCGCCCCCTGAATCACTGAATTTATTGACCAACCACAGAGCCCATTCAGGCCAGGAAGGGCTGATAAATGAAGGGGGACAGCGATGCCATCAGGGCTCGGGTAAGAAGCCGATGCTCAGGGGGACATTAGGGAGGTGAGGGGCTTTGTGACCAGCTGGTGGGTCACAGACCTTTTAGCAGACGCGGTTTCCTTTGTATCATCTGTAAAATGAGGCCTGTGGTATGTGAGCATCAGGTTGGCCTTATGTCCCAACCATTAATCACTAAAGGGGCCTATTTTGGGTCCAAGCATTTTGGTAAAAAACGGTAATCAAACCGGACCATTGGAAAGTAAGGATATAACAAAATAACTTTAAAAGTTGAAAACGAAGGGATAATTTAGGATGTTTGAAGATTAAAAGTCTATTTACAATCAGTATCTGACATCCAGCAGAGTTCTTTCTCAGGATCATCTTTATCATAAATGCAGATTTGAAACAGATCCATAGAAACTGTTATTTCCTCAAACTATTTTCATTTTTTGTATCAGTTTATCATATGGTTAGGGCATATAGCTTGCAATCCTGAGGTTGTGAGTTCGACACCTACTCCCACAGACTGCCACTCCTGTCCTCTGAGCAGGAACTTAACCCCTGATTGCTCCCTAAGGGGAGGGGTTAAATGCAGAGGTTAATTTCTCCAATTTTCTTTTTTTTTGTTTTGATAAAGCTTATAGTTAGAGTGGCTCAGGTTATCCTGAGCTATCTCTATAGTTCTGCTGCTATAGGCTTAGACTGCTGGAGGACATAGGGACCCCTTTTTCATCATTCTGCTTCATTCTATCTCTATTCTCCCACTCTGCAGAATCTGTTAGTTCAATCTCTAACGTTCTGCTCTCTCTGCTTTTTCTCATAGTAGCTTCATCTGGTCTGTTCCTGTTTGGCTGTGACTCCATCCTGGAGAGAAATATCAGCTATGCTGCTGCCATCAACACCTATGTTTCTAGATGTTGGAGCTTGGCCTGTTTTCCAGTGTAGTCCTGTTTCTCTGACTGTGACTAACTGGATGTGCTCTCTTCATCCTCTGACATGGAAGCTGGCTCGGAGCTCGTCTGCCTGGCTGTGTGTTTCCTGGACGGGGCCGCCTGTGGAGCTGGTTGACAGTTGCCTTTTGTATCTATGCTTCTTTTTCTATGTCTGCTTCTGTCTCCTTGAACCCCAGTGGGCCTCAGCAGATGGCCGCTCACACTGAGCCTGGTTCTGCTGGAGGTTTCTTCCTGTTCAAAGGGAGTTTTTCCTCTCCACTGTCGCTACAAGCATGCTTAGTGTGAGGGATTGCTGAAGAGTCAATGAGTCGATGCAATCAGCTGGTTTTCCTTAGATAGAAAACTTTGAATCAATCTGACTGGATGATCTGGTGAACTGGAAAGTGACCTGAGATGACATGATGTGAATTGGAGCTATAGAAATACACTGCATAGAATTGATCTCTTCTCAGGAAAAGAACCAGAGACAGAAAAGCTAATAAACTGAATTGAATATTAAGGTTTTCATCATCATCATCATTTTTGTTCATCGTTCCCATGAAAAACTCCGGCCCCATCCTGCCCCCCAGGACCACCACTGACTGTGCGCAGATTGTCTCCACTTGCACCAATCTTGAAACAAAAAAGCTTAGCTTGAAGGACAAAAAAAAAGTCTACAATGTCTGAACACAAGCTTGAGAAAATCTTTTTTAGTGAGTTTCTAGCTGCGAGGAATAAAGAGCGTTTTAGTGTCTTTATTTGTCTCCTCCATTCTCCATCTGTTCGTCTGCAGATACAAAAGCAACACAAACAACCATGTTGCTCTGAGGAGAAGCAACACTTTCTGCAACAACTACACGGCAAACACCGTCCAATGCAGGATTTCCCCGCTCTCTACACATCGCTGTTTACCTAAAAGATGATCCCACATGAATTCATGATGCCCTCTCATCCTCATCATGAATATTCCCAGAAAAGACGGCTCTTCCCTCATCTGTGGGAGATTCCTTTATTTCGGATAGAAGAGAGGACCCCCCCCCTCCATGCTTCCTAAATCCGTCCATTCAGGCCCATGGGCCCTGATCTCCACATGAAATGATACCACTCTTTCTCCTCCACTCCTGCGCCCTTAAGGGCCCATATGCCAGGCAGCGAGGAGGCTGGGAAAGCCCATAATTGATCAGTGAGCCTCGGCTGAAAAAGTGTGACCAAGGTCAGCCCCCCACGAAGCCTTCAAATACGGATTTATTGGGGGAATTTCATGGAAATTCTGCAGAGCAAACATCAAACTGAAAAAGTCCAAAAGGCGGTATCACATTTTTTTATTCAAATCAACCATTTTCACATTTTTACAGGTTCAATTTAGTAGAGTTGTCTGGAAAATACGGTATGTAAACAAAAATATACTGAAGCTGCATCGACAGAGATCAATGTGAGACGATCTTACAAAGACGATCATATCTATGAGAGACACGGAGCAAAAGTATCTACGGGAAGTTTCTCTTCCACAGGAAGAAAGCTAACTCAAAAAAAAAAAAAAAACAGTTAATAACAGCACCATTCAGGTTAATAACGTTAACGTAGAATCACAGTAAAATTAAACCCTCTAACATTTTATGTAGTTTTACGGAGTTAGAGTGAGAAAATAATCTGGTCGTCACCCCAGATCTTAGTTCAGTGAGCAAAAATCAATCCCATAAAATAGTTCCTGGAAGAGCAAAGCTGATTGTTTTATTCTGAAGGATTTAGGAGGAAAATCCCAAACAAAAGGAAGTTTATTAAATGTTAATCAGCAGATATAATCACTGCCATAAAAACAGATGTTTTACCTGCATCTATGGAGTGAAATTTGTTCCATAATCGTAATAACACATTCTGTAAACGGAAATTTAAAAAAAGAAAGTTTATAAGTCTAAATCTAAATGAAATAAAATCAACATTTGAGTAAAAAAAAGGTCCCAGATTATGTTTTAAAAGTATTTTTATGTATTTTTCATATTCTATATTTTCAAATTCCATTTCCTTTTATTTTGTTTGCCCATTTTTTTTGCAAATTTATTTTTTCATATTTTATCGTTCAATTTTTATCTTATCTAATTTTGACTTTTTGATTTTTTATTATATTTATATCTTTTTCAGGTTTTATTTTTCTAAATGTATTTTTTTTGGTTTTTAACTTTTTTGAACTTTTTTTTCAGATTTTTCAGAATTGCCTTTATTTCACACTGCTTTTTACAAAAACATTTTTTAAACATCTGGGGGCGGGTCTCCCTGTGGGATAAGAAGCTAAGACATGTTTCTCTTGGTCTGCTGGATGTCGGCATCATCGCTGTACGGTTAAAGTTCACTTTAGAGCGAGAATTTATATTGTATGGAAGCCAAGAGTGGTTGTACTGACACTTTTTTTTTCTTTGTCTTCTCTACATAACGACATAACTATCTCATTATCCCAGTTAAACCATTAATTGTTTTTTCAAGATAACGGGATAATAATCTCATTATCAGGATAAAACAGTTATAGATTTCTCGAGATAACGAGATAATTAACCTGTATGAGTGATGAGGCAGGCAAACTGCCCTGGATTCCCAGTCCATCCATGCCTGTGGGGCCCATATTTGTGCAGCAGCGTGTGCAAATAATCAGTTTTTTAGTTTCCTTTTTCTTTTCACTCATGATTGGATTGCATAGAATACAGTAGAAACTAATCAGTTTTTTAATGAAAATCTTTAATCTGGACTCATTTTGGGGGTTAATGCATCTTATAGCTGTTCCAGGCGTAACACCATAGCTGTTCTGAGAACACCTGGAGGCAAAGGTCTAATTGCTTAGGAATCAGAAGTGGAAGCAAACCAGCAAACCAACAACATCTCGTTACCTAAAAGTTAAACACAGGATTATTTACTGAATCACAGACAGGCTGCCGTGACTTATATGTATAAATCCTTTCCCGCTGTTGTTGTATTGAAGGATGGAATCAGTTATAACTCACACCGATCATCTGGAAATGACAAGAAAACGGCTTTCGTTATCTTTAAATAATGAGAAAATTAACTTGTTTTTTGAGAAAACCACCGTTAAGAAGTATCAGAGGGATACGACCGCTCTGGGCTTCCGTAGTTTTGGACTCAAGGTGATGAGAATGTAATCTGCAACAAGCAATTTGAAAATTTTAAAACTTAATCTGAAAAATCTCAAAATTAAAATAAAAAAATAAGAAATATAAAATTAAAAAAAATAAAGTTGACATTTTTTACTAATTAGTTTTAGTATATGGCTGAACTTAATGACTCAGAACAGAAGATTGGACCAAACGTCCTCACAGCTATGGAAAAGCCTCAGTGGGGGCCTCCAAAGGAAGGACCAAAGAACTGGAGGTACAGCAACAGATTCATTCATTCATTCATTCATTCATTCATTCATTCACATTCTTACTATAATGCATTTTGCCTTTACTCAGACTATCTTTGTCAGATGTCCTTATTTAGATGTTTCTACAGATGAAATCTCCATTCTTCAGTTCAAGTATGAATCCTAATGTTTGTTCCCTCCAGTGTTTCTCTCCACATGGCTCCTAACTAGAGACTGACATTTTTTTGGGAATCCCATGGGTCACGGGATTCCCGTGGGATTCCCGTGGGATGGGAGTCAGTATTAGTAACGATCACGGGATTGGGACGGTACAGGATTAAACATTAACGGGAGCAGACGGGAGCGGGAGCAAACCAATAGTAACTTCCGCTCTGAGTTTTTCACCCGCGCTCAAAAACAACAAGAACGGGAGTGGAGCAGGAGCGGGAGTCATTCTGAATGGGAGCGGGATGGGAGTGGGAGTAATTTCACCAGGAGTGGGATGGGACAGGATTTAGATTTCTACTCTGGCCCGGGATCGGGACGGGACACCATTTTTTTCTGTGGGAGTGGGACGGGACAGGAGTGAAAATCCACTCCCGTGTCAGTCTCTACTCCTAACTCTGCCATCTAAAAACCGGATCAAAGTGTATTTGCCTTTAATTGAGCAGCTAACTGAGAGGATCCACCAACAGAACAGGGGTTTAGTCTCTTCAGGCCGTTTGTCTCAAAGAGCGGCAGAGATGTGGTTCTGTGGATCGGCGGCGTAGGTGACGGCGGAGGGTTTGGGGGGCCAGGCGGCGTCCTCCTGCAGCTCCAGAGCGAGCTGCCTGTACAGCACCTTCGGGGGCTTGTTCCTCCGACAGAAGAGCCGGGACAGGAACAGCGCCCCCCAGCGGTAGTTAGCCACCTGTGAGATGAGTGGAAGAATGAAAGCAGTCAGGGAGCATTTCACCAGGTTATCGGCACCGCGAAGAACTAACGACCAGGAAATGGAAACTAACTGATTATGCAATAGAAAATGCTCTTACTTAAAGGGAACATTTCTTATTTAGAAAAGCACTTTGACAGCAGCCTAATAAATCAATGCCAGGAAGAGTAAAGCACAGAATGCTATCTATAGACAGACTGAATAAGGAAAAAAGGCTTCCCAACCTGTGGTGTGTCCCCAGAGGAGGATTCTCCGGGGCCATTCGGCCCTTGACTTCCTCTGAAAACAAGCCTCCATAAGACGACGTCAACGATCAAAATCTACGGGAGATTTCAGGAACTTAAAGAGTCGGCTAATCATCAGGGTTGAGTAACAGCACCAGAGGAAAAGATGTCAGATTTAAAAAGCAATTTAAGGAACTATTTAAACAGATTTTTAGCTCATGGAAATCGACTGAGCAGCTAAAGCAGGTGTTTGATAAAGATGCAGATCAGAAAGGAGGAGGATGGAAGGAGACATGATGCTGGGCGAGACGTCTGCGCGGCGTACCTCCAAGACGAGAGACACCATTGCGTTCGCCGCGATGATGACGACCAGAGTAGTGCGCCAGTCATGTGGAACACACACCACCTGAAGGAGGGGGGGTGATGACGACACAGAAAGGCAATGTCTCCTGCATGTTTGTGGCTTACATAATAATTAGCATGCAAGTAAAAAAAAAGCATCACAATAGTGCCCCCCCCCCTAAAATTAATACGTCCGGTGATTTCATGATTTTGAGCTAATCAATGAAAAACAAAAGGAACACTTTTCCGTCGCAATCACTGAGTCTGGGAGCGGCCATTTTTGTACAAATATAGTAACACCTAAAGGGCTGGTTATCCCGCAGCAGTGTGTCACAGTTAGCTTGCCGCAGGTATGACGCAGATATTTTTGATTTATGCCCAATATTGAAGCGTGGTCTGCGCTATTAGCCACAACGCCAGAGGGCCAATCAGGAACTAGCTAGGAGTGTAGGCGTCCGTGTGTTGGTTTGACACACCAATGCCAGATGACCCGCGATCGTTCCCCAAAGACTGGTGTAAACCAACAGAGATACGAACTAGCGTCCTGCACGGTGTCTGGGATAGAGTCCGAGGTGAGCCAGGCGCTGTGGGCGGAGCTACAGCCAGAGTTTCTGCCATTAGGGACCAAACAGGAAGTACGCATAGTGTAGAGCGAATGCAGAATTGACCAATCAGAGGCCTGCTGTCTGCGGTCACCTACAAGACAAGACAACCAGAGTGTCTGCGTGTAGAGGCGGGGGGGGGGCATATCTGCGTTAACTGCGACACAGACTAACTGGTTGCTGTGCATAAACCAGCCTTCACTCCTGCCGTCTTCCAGCAGGGACGTCACGGTGCGGTAAGCCTAGCGCCATTCTCCCCGCTTTCCAAGCTAAATCAATGGGAACTACTAGACACATCTGCAATCAACAACAATTATTGAAGATTTCCAGAGGACTTCCCCATTGAAATTCACCAGAGCTATAGTGAAACTGACAATGCCCACGTGCATGGCAGCTGGATGCTGGAATACATCAGGGAAACGTTATGGAAGTAAATCTGTGTCGCTGGGATTTGAATTAAAAATGCACCTGAAATTTAAATGTTGTATGTTTGTTCTTACTGTTTCAGTGTTAAAATATATTCAGAACACATTTTTGACCTGAAAAAAATTCATTGTCATTATTTCTACACAGTTGAAATTTCATTTGTTATTTTCTCTTCAAGCTAAAAATTCGCATTGCTATTTCAAAGTGATTACATTTTCAATACTTATTTTTCAGTGTTAAAAAAATCTGCATATAAATAAATTCAACCTTTCAAAATTCAAACTCAATATTTTCAGCCTCCTGAGATTCAACTGGCTCTATTTCACTGTCTTAAATTCGGCGTCTAAATTCAGCGTAAAAAGGGAAGGGTTACTTCAGGTCACAGACATTAGCAGTGGATTGTGGCGTCCAATACCCAGCCAATCCCGTTACGCTAACGCTAACTCAACGGTGAGTTTATTACCTTCATTTTTCTGTAGTTGAGTTAGCGTTAGCTTGCGTGACCGGCTCCGTCATGCTGGTTTTCCTTCCGTATGAGCGCCACAAGCGTCACGTCACGTGACTAAGAAACTGTAACGGGATTGGCTGGGTGTTGGACGCCACAATCCATTGCTAATGTCTGTGACCTGAAGTAACCCTTCCCTTTTTACGCTGAATTTAGACGCTGAAATTAAGACGGTGAAATAGAGCCAGTTGAATCTCAGGAGGCTGAAAATATTGAGTTTGAATTTTGAAAGGTTGAATTTTTTTATATGCAGATTTTTTTAACACTGAAAAATAAGTATTGAAAATGTAATCACTTTGAAATAGTAATGTGAATTTTTAGCTTGAAGAGAAAATAACAAATGAAATTTCAACTGTGTAGAAATAATGACAATTAATTTTTTTTAGGTCAAAAATGTGTTCTGAATATATTTTAACACTGAAACAGAAAGAACAAACATACAACATTTAAATTTCAGCGGCATTTTTAATTCAAATCCTAGCGACACAGATTTACTTCCATAAAAAGTGAAACAAAGAGTTATTCCACCTTTCTGATTCCTGATCCTCCACGGACGGGTTGGTCGTTGGATCGCCAACTTGAAGAGGGAGGATTTGCCATCGAACTTCTGGCCAGAGAAAAAACCCGTAATATGTAGCCAACATTTGGAAGAAGAATGTTTTCAAGATGACTTGGATAATAGCGCGTTGTGACAAACACCAGATACAGCACTGGGACTTGATCAACAGCCGATACCGCACCGTCACTAACCAGTAGGTGGCAGTAGTGTTCTTTGACAAACATGGATGCCTCCAGTAAAGCACATTCACATGAAAATTACTCTGAATTAAAAACACTGATCATTTATTAAACAGGATAGAATCATTTCAGATTTAAAGAACTTTCAGATGTTTGAATCCTGAATATGAGCGACTTTTCCTTTAAATAATCATGATAAAGGTTTACCTCCAGGAAGTTATCGATAGCAGGGATGGGGTACAGCATGATGAGGAGGAGAAAAGAATAGAGAGCGATGCAAGACAGCATAAACGGCCCTTATCAAAGACAAAACAAATGTTTCAGACTGAGTTTACTTTGACTTAGAGATAAGAAACTGGGCGTGCTGTAAAATGTCTTACAGTTCTTATAACTGGGCTGCCTGAAGGGCTTTCCCTTAGAGAAGACGATGGCCACAGCTAAATATTGGAAGGACGACACGTAGAAGAGGGAGGTGTTCTCATAGTTCCTGATGTTTTTGTGGTCGTGAGAGGTCGTTCTGTTGGAGCTGTGGGAGAAGATGGATCTGGAGGCGTTACAGGCACTGCAGGAGACAGGAGAAAACGAAAACAGGCACAGGAATGGAAGGTCCTTCTGATTTCAACAAGTTCTTTCATTCTTAAAGGTGTTACCTGGCCACACCAAAGTCAACAACATTGAAAAACCAATTCAAAATGTCTGGAGTAGCGTTTAGTTCGAGGCTTTATACAGTAGCACATCAAAACTTGTTTTTGTTTCGTTTTTTGTTTTGAAAAGCGTCTGTTCCAATCGTTGCATTTCCGAATTCTCCCAGTGGTGCCCGACTTTACACCAGTGAATAAAGTGAATGTGATTGGTCGTTCATCAAGGGGGCGGGATTGTTGTGGTGGAAGGTTCACAAGCCTTTTGGTTGTGGCCGGTTTGTTGGAAGCATCTTGCTAACTAGTTAGCAACTTAGTGCTAGCAGGTTCCCAATGGGAAATTCCATTGGGACCAAGTAGCACTAAATTGGTGACTTAGAAACGACGCTGTCAAGGAACGCTATGGACAGCGGAAACATGCAAGAGGAGGAGAGTTTAGTGTCGGAGGTCGTGGATGAGTCTCCTCCGTCATCCATTTTTTATTTAGAGGAGGAAAGCGGGGACGAAGATATTGTGGAAGAGGACGCCAGGGCGGCAGAAGCTTGGTTTGGTGTAGAAGGCTTCCAGCCGTACATGTTTGAGCCCTTGCCTCGCAACGCTGCCAGTTCTGTTAGCTCTACGCCTGCTAAAGACACAGACGTCCATCCCCGTGAACACTGGGACGCAACTCAATGGGAAAGGAAAGGATTCTGGTTTCAACCGTTGCGTATATTAGCTGCGACATATGAATCAAGATGCTATGACCGAAAACATTTGATTGACAGATGACCGTTGATATATGATTGGCTGAATTTAGGTGTTCAGGCTGACGTAGAACTAACTGGTAGAGGTGGGCGGATCGATCCCAGGATCGATACTATCGATACCAACGCTGGTATTTATATTGAACAATATTCGTTTAACAAGATCGATACTTTTTATCCTCTCTCGCGCGCGCTGACTGCTGCGGAGTCACCAGTTTCCCCATATGTGTAACAGCACTTTGCTCCCCCTCCCCTCTCCTACAGTCACATGGCTCAGCGGCGCCAGCCAATCAGCGCGCAGGCTTAGCTTGGCCTGCCCACTCAGCACTACGTCACACAGACAACCGCGCTGCCGGTTGCTGGGTGAGTGCTCACTCAGACTTGGATGGAGAGAGAGACCAAAGACCCGCCTCCAGCCTCAGACAGACATCTTTGACCCAAGCGTTTCAGTCCTCCAGAGAATATCCAGGTAGATAACAGTGGTCATCGTCTGCAGCACTTCATTATACATCATATATTACTCAGAAAGTGTAGTTAAGACCTTGAAAAAACCCAGTACATTTATCCCATTAAAAAATGTTAGCTAAAATAAGCTAACATTAGATAATCTCTTATTTATTCCACGATTGAGAACTTTATAGAAAAAAAGCAACAGGCAAGTGCAGCTTAAATGTAAAAAGTATCGGTATCGGTATCGATATCGGCGATACTGACCCAGTATTTACTTGGTATCGGATCGATTAAAAAATCCCGGTATCGCCCACCTCTACTAACTGGCCTGCAGAAGATAATGAAAATGCGTCAACATCTTGCAGTAAATGCGACTCACTCTGACTGAGGCGTCCACGTCTCATACCAGCTCTGTTGTTGTACCAAGTTGAAAACCAAGACCTGGAAGCCCAGGCATGTGAGGATCTGGGTGAGAACTGAGCAGAGCAGAGGTCCTGAGATGAGACTGGATGGAGGACGTTGCCTCACCAGTTCCTTCCACGCCGGGTTCAGACTCACTACAGGCAGACAAAACCAACAAACCCGTCAGCAAACGGTCTTCCCCCGATAAAAACCCTCTTAGCCGCCGCCTCCATGTGGCTCACTTGTGAAGGCAATGATGAGAATGATGACGAGGTCGATGAAGAGGAACTGGAAGTCCCCCAAGTTGCTGAGGATCTGGATTAACAGAAGATTAAGACTGCATTAAAGAAGAAGAAGCTGCAGGAAAACTATGGGCCGCCGTTCGTAAAGTTTAGCAGTCAAAAATTAGCAGCAATATTTATGGTTATTTAGCGTATTTTAAGAGAAAAATAAGTTTATTTTTTTCCAAGTCATTTTTTCTCTACATCGTTCATTGATTTATACAAACCTTAATTTTTTTTTATTAATATTTAGCTCCAAGTAAAATATTTGTTTAAGAAACATTTAGCTAACTTGGTGCTAGCTAAATATTTATTTAATGAACTAACTATTTAGTTTGAAAAATCTTTACTTAAAAATATTTAATTTGTAAACTACATTTTTAGCTCCAAACTAAATATTTAGTTTTTTTTAAATAAATCTTTAGTTTGAAAAATAAATATTTAGTTTTTAAATAAATATTTAGCTCCAAACTAAATATTTTTTTTAATAAATATTTAGTTTGAAAAATATATACTTAAAAACATTTAATTTGTTAACAAAATTTTTAGATCCTAACTAAATATTTAGTTTGTTAAATAAATATTTAGTTTGGAAAATAAATATTTAGTTTTTAAATAAATAAATATTTAGTTTGAAAAATAAATATTTAGTTTTTAGATAAATATTTAGTTCCAAGTAAAATATTTATTTAAGAAACTTAACATTTAGCTAGCTTAGTGCTAGCTAAGTATTTAACAAAAAAAATATTTAGATTGTTAAGTAAATATTTAGTTGGAAAAATATATACTTAAAAACATTTAATTTGTTAACAAAATTTTTAGCTCCTAACTAAATATTTAGTTTGAAAAAATAAAAATTTAGTTTTTAAATAAATATTTAGTTCCAAGTAAAATATTTATTTAAGAACCTTAACATTTAGCTAGCTTAGTGCTAGCTAAATATTTATTTAACAAAAAAATATTTAGATTAAGTAAATATTTAGTTTGAAAAATATATACTTAAAAATATTTAATTTGTTAACAACATTTTTAGCTCCAAACTAAATATTTAGTTTGTTAAATATATATTTAGTTTGAAAAATTAATACTTAGTTTTTAAATAAATATTTAGTTTTTAAATAAATATTCAGCTCCAAACTAAATATTTATTAATCAAAGTAAGGTTCTTATAAATTAATTAATGACGTAGTGAAAATTGATTTGGAAAATAATAACCTCCTTATTTTTCTCTTATAAAATGCTAAATAACCATAAATATTGCTCCTAATTTTTGAGTGCTTGACCGTACAGACAGCGCCCCCTAGAAAGACGTTCAGAGCAGCACATACCCAGTAGAGCAGGATGACACTGATGTACTGGATGATGCTGTAGAGAGCCATGAATTTAAATACGCAGAACGACGTGATGAGAGCCGCTCGTCCCTCCCTTTGGAAAAGACAAAAACGCCATTGTTAACTAAACTAAACTAAACATTTTTGAAGTGCATGAAGAAAGCTGGGCTGTGATTGGTGGGGATGCTGCTAACTTTAATCCGCCAACAGAAGAAAGCCTCACATTGCCTATTAATGCGCCAGATGTTTGAAATGAATCCTCACTTTACCTGATGAGGCTGGGAACACAGGAAATGTTGGAGGTGGACGAAGTGAAGGGTGAAGCAACCGACGCCTCCAGCTCCGACAGAGAGATCCCACTGTGAGCTCGCTTCAGCGCCTGAGAGGGACGTCAAAGCAATACTTTGAAGACGATCTTAAAACTCTGGTGCTGTGTTACCGTAAGCATTGGTGGTATTAATACCTAAACACAGTAAATGACTGACAGGCTTCTAAAAAATGTTTAAGTTCATTCTTATGGAGCAGCAGGTAAAAGCCCAAATAAAAACCTTTATTATTCTGTGTCAGTGCAGAGTAGTGGATCCTGTTGATGCTTTAGAAGTTGTCGTCTTTCCATCCAGTGCTGACAGACGGCCCAACGCACTGATTTAACTTGGACTAGGGCATACTGATGACATCATCCTGACTAGCCATACTAAGTCTCACTGACTAGACCACACCGACTGGCTATATTAACTAGGCCACATTGACTTAACTGTCTGTTTGCCCCAACTGACTAGACCTCATTGATTAGACTGTATAGACTTAGTATCACTTATTAGCTAAACTAACTAGATCAAATCCACGACACCAGACTGACTAGGCCTCATTAACTAGGCCACTCTAAAACCTTCATTCAAACAAGTCTGGTGTAGGTACAGCTGCGTAAATAGATATAGAGTATATAGATTTACCTTTAGGCAATACTAGGCAGGTGCCTAGGGCCCCAAGTTCCTGGGGGCCCCATAAAACTCTGTTTACATGTATGGTTAATACAATTATTCCTTATTTCTGCACATTAATTATGTTTTAGATAAAGATCCTTTGGCTAAAATTCCATCAGAACGCTTATAATAAGTGTGTCTCAGCCCCCCCCCTTCAGTGTCCACCATATTGGATCAGTCCATTTGCTGCACATGTTCAGAAAGGTCCAAACAGACAGCAGCAAACCATTTGAAAACAAACCATGCAAAGAGCAGTGTTGCCAACTTAGCGCTTTAGTCGCTATATTTAGCCACTTTTCAGACCCCTCTAGCACTTTGATTTCTAAAAAGCTCCTAGCGCCAAATCTAGAGACTTTTTTCTGCTACTGGAGACTTTGGAGACAACATCTAAAAGCAGCGAACTCTGCTCTCCAGAGCGAGTAGATTGGTAACCCCGCCTCCTGCTCTCCTCTATCTTGTCTGCTGTCATGATTCATGCAGCTATTATTTCATCCAAATGAAAAATGGAGAACAGATAAGCAGATCATGGCTTGTCTACAGTGAAAAGAAGGACTGGGTTATTTACTTTGGCCTTTTTGGAAACACAGGAAGGAGCAATCAGCTAAGTGAGCTTAGTGCTTGGAAAAAATCTTTCATTCCTTTAGAGACAGCATGAAAAGTCAGCTGAGTACAAAACATAGAGAGGGAAACAAGAAGAAAAGGGACAAGAAGAGAGGGACACAACCTAGAACAGATAATGGATGTCTATTCTATTAACATTTCTATATCTGGAGAATGGGGCTGTTTATGTCTTCTCCATTCAGAGGGGCCCCTGCCTGTCTCTGCCTAGGGCCCCACATTTCCTAAATCCACCCCTGATACTATATATACTATATATTGCATATTGTATATAACTATAGATTCTGTATATATGTGTAATTTGTCTACACCATAAACATCAAGTTAAATTCCTTGTAGGTTTAAACCTATTTGGAAATAAATACAGTAAATGACTGAATTGTGTGGTTTATATGTTTATATTGGCCCTAAAGTGAAGGGAATGTGATCTGGAAAATGACGTATTTTATAAAACTCAATCTGAAAAAGAGAGAAAAAAAAAATTCCATAATAATGTCTGATAAAACAACAAAGTTACTTTAAAAAACAATTATGGTAAAAAATATTTCAGCCTTTAGTTACTGGATTGCATTTTATTTTATTTTTTATATTTAGAAATGTGCCTTTTGAAAGCAAAAAAATGTGACAAAATTCACTCCATAAATTTCCACACTACAAAAACTATAAGATCTAAATAAGAAATGTGATAAAAAAGTAAAAAAGAATTTGTGGTTCAAGCCTTAGATTTTCTAAGTCACCACCACTTTCCCAGAAGTTAGAAAAAGTCAATAAAATTAAATTGAAAGAGTGTTAAAATTTAGATGACTGATTTGAAGTTGAAGTTTTATGAAAGTTTGTAGCCTTTAAATCTTGACGTCTGCCGACATTTCTTTTCTTTTTACAGTGTTTGGGCTTTATAGTAAATGGAAACTTATGTATTTGTATACGTTATGAATTTCAAGGAACCTATTCTGACAGCTTGCCATAGACCCTACCTGCTATTAGAGCAAAACATCATATTTCACAATAACAATGGTATTAAATGCCTGCTGGTACCAAACCCATACCTACCCCACAGTCGTTGGCACCGTCTCCACACATCCCTACAGTGTAGCTGCAAAGTAAACACAGCGGATGAAGCAGCAGCAGCGAAAACAGATGGAAAAGACGAGCGTCAGCTGGGAGGCTCACTCAATGCCCTGCAGGATTTCCACCAGCTGGGTCTTCTGGTCAGGAGCCATGCGAGCAAACACGGTGGCTCTTAGAGCGAGCTGCGGTGCCCCCGTGTGGAAGGAAAATGGAAATACAACAGAAAGAAACAAACTTGATGTAAATAGGACGGATTTTAAAGTGCTAAAGGAAAAGAAGCGAGTACCTTCTGCATCAGCTGAGGAAAGTGCTCTGTGATAACAGCAAAGGCTCGACCGTTGACAGCAAACTGATACGTCTCCTCCTCCACGCTTATCTTCGCCTGAGGGAGAGAAGAAGACGCAAAAACCAGAGAGTTAAAACAGAAAAGGAAAATAAATGAATTTTACCAAAGGGCCCGTTTCCACAAACACTACGACTTCATGGAAGATTGAACAGAAGACGATCCTGCAGAGGTTTGGACTACAAATCAAATTGTTTTTTTTCATTTATATGAGTTAAAATAGATTCAGCATCATTCCGGATTGGAAATAAGGTTTGCTTATTTTTGTACGACACTGGGAGAGACTTTCAATCTTCTCATGAAGACTTTTAAAGAAACATTAGAAAAAGAAAGACAGATACAATGTATGGAGGGAACTGTGTTCCACTATTGTTGAAAGAAAGTAACAAGTCATGTCAAAGGAAATAAAAAAAAATGTATTTCACAAATGAAAAAAAAAAGTTTTAAGTTGTTTTCTTAGTTAAAACTTTTAACTTATCTTTTAGGAATTGTTAATATAATTTTTTCAAGCCTATTTTTACATTTTTAAAACTATTTCTATTGTATTATTTGATGATTTGATGATTTGCATTCTTTTCAAATTGCATTTTTACAAATCACATTCTCTCTATTTCAAACTCCACACAAAAGCTAATACTTTTCATTAACATCATTTACATTGTAAAAGTAGCTATGTAGAGAGAGGGCTGCTGCAGATGGGCTAACATTAGCCCTGGCTCTGGTTAGCCTCAGACCTCCACTGGTTGCCATGGTCCTCTCAACATTAGAACTTTCTTTAAATTATAAACTAAATAATTAAACGGGCCATATAGTGAAGCTTAAAGTATAATGTTGTCACCTAAAATGATCCTGAGCCATCTCTATAGTTCTGCTGCTATAGGCTTAGACTGCTGGAGGACATAGGGACCCCTTTTTCATCATTCTGCTTCATTCTATCTCTATTCTCCCACTCTGCAGAATCTGTTAGTTCAATCTCTAACGTTCTGCTCTCTCTGCTTTTTCTCATAGTAGCTTCATCTGGTCTGTTCCTGTTTGGCTGTGACTCCATCCTGGAGAGAAATATCAGCTGTGCTGCTGCCATCAACACCTTTGTTTCTAGATGTTGGAGCTTGGCCTGTTTTCCAGTGTAGTCCTGTTTCTCTGACTGTGACTAACTGGATGTGCTCTCTTCATCCTCTGACATGGGAGCTGGCTCGGAGCTCGTCTGCCTGGCTGTGTGTTTCCTGGACGGGGCCGCCTGTGGAGCTGGTTGACAGTTGCCTTTTGTATCTATGCTTCTTTTTCTGCACAAACTGAAATCAATCAGATATATAAGATTTAAACCAGTTCCTTTAATTCCTACAAAATATTCAAGTCTTTCTAAAAGAATATTATGGTCAACTGTATCAAATGCAGCACTGAGATCCAACAGGACGAGCACAGATACAAGTCCATTATCTGAGGCCATGAGAATATCATTAGTGACTTTCACCAGAGCTGTTTCAGTGCTATGATGATCTCTAAAGCCAGACTGAAACTCTTCAAAAAGTTAATTATGGTGTAAGTGATCGCAAACTTGTTTGGAAACTACTTGTAGAATTTTAGATCAGAAAGGAAGATTGGATATAGGTCTATAATTGACCAAGTCATCTGGGTCAAGAGACGGTTTCTTAAGCAGAGGTTTAATTCCAGCAACCTTAAAAGCCTTAGGTACATATCCCTGTAACAGAGATAGATTAATCACATCTAAAATGGGGGAGGAGATCAAAGGGAATACCTCCTTAAATGACCTGGTTAAAGGGAATACCTCCTTAAATAACCTGATTGGAACTGGATCTAACATCCAAGTTGAAGGCTTAGATGAAGACAATAGTTTTGCTAACTCAGAAAGTTCAACTGGATCAAAGCAGTCTCAGATTATATGGGTCCTATCCAACACAGAGGAAACGACCTTCATCATGGATCCCTCATCATCACCCTGTGAAGCCCTCCGGCTCACCTGATCGGCCCCGCCTCTCTGAGCAGGGCTGTCCACATAATGCCACGTAATGGTGGCACGGTGGGAGTCTTTTGGAGGCTCAGCGTCGGCGATGATGACGGTCTCCTGCGGACGGACCATTCCGCAGTCTCGGGCCACAGAAATGGCCGTAAGCATGTTGTCTCCTGACAGATGGAGCAGACAGGGAGGGGTCAGCAACTGGTGCACCTGTATCTAAGGAGGGGATGCTTTGCAGGGCTGGGTTACCTGTGACCATCAGAGTGCGGATGCTAGCCCTGTGTAGCTCTGCCAGAACGCCAGCCGTCTCCTGTTTGATTTTGTTCTGCATGATGATCAAACCCAGGAAATCCATGTTGTCCTCTATCAGGTTCCTGGAAGCACAGAGCCTTATGAACAGCGAGATAAAGTTTTAGGTCATGACAAAATGTTAAACAGCATAAACACTTTTTTGGAGCGTGTTGAGCCCATTTGAAAAATATGCAATCCAGAAAAAAAACTCCGCCATCTCCGGCAGAGCTTTGAACACGTTCCGAGGTAGGTGGGGGACATTGAATCTGAGTGGACCATGTTCCGTGCCTCTATTGTTGAGGCAGCTAGTCGGAGCTGTGGCTACAGGTTTGTCGGTGCATTTCGCGGCGGCAACTTCGAACACGCTGGTGGACATCAGCGGTGAGGGAAGCTGTCAAGCTGAAGAAGGAGTCCTATCGAGCTTTATTGACCTTTGGGACTCCAGAAGCAGCTGATATGTACCGGCAGTCAAAGCAGCGGGCGGCTCGGTCAGTCGCTGAGGCAAAAACTCGGGCTTTGGAAGATTTCGGAGAGGCCATGGAGAAAGACTTCCGTATGGCTTCGAAGCGATTCTGGTCCACAATCCGGTGTCTCGGGGGGTGGAGTACTTTGAAGACCTCCTTAATCCCACCAACACGTCTTCCATTGAGGAAGCAGAGTCTGGGGGCTCTGGTTCTCCCATCTTTGGTACTGAGGTCACTGAGGGGTTTAAAAAGCTCCTCGGTAGCAGGGCTCCAGGGGTGGATGAGATTCGCCCTGAGTACCTTAGGGCTCTGGATGTTCTGGGGCTGTGTCAGTTAACGCGGTTCTGTAACATTGCGTGGAAATCAGGGGCAGTTCCCCTGGAATGGCAGACCGAGGGGGTGGTCCCTCTATTTAAAAAAGGGGACCGGAGGGTGTGTTCCAACTACAGAATAATCACACTCTTAAGCCTCCCTGGTAAGGTCTATGCCTGGTTCTGGAAAGGAGGGTCCGTCGGATAGTTGAATCTCGGATTCAGGAGGAGCAGTGTGGTTTTCGTCCTGGCCGTGGAACACTGGATCAGCTCTAGACCCTTAGCAGTATTCTGGAGGGTGCATGGGAGTTTGCCCAACCAGTCTACATGTGTTTTTCGGATCTGGAGAAGTCATTCGACCGTGTCCCTCGGGGGGTCCTGTGGGGGGTAATCCGGGAGTATTGAGTATCAGGACCTTTAATAAGGGCTGTTAGGTCTCTGTATGACCGGTGTCAGAGCCTGGTCCGCATTGCCGGCAGTAAGTCAGACTCGTTTCCGGTGAGGGTTGGACTCCACCAAGGTTGCCCTTTGTCACCGATTCGGTTCACAACTTTCATGGACAGAACTTCTAGGAGCAGCCAAGGTGCTGAGGGGGGCTGTTTTGGTGTCCTTAGGATTGCGTCTCTGTTATTCGTAACAGAGACGCAATCCTAAGGCGTCTCTGTTACGAAGTCTCTGTTATTATAGATGTGGTTCTATTGGCTTCATCAGGGCGTGATCTACAGCTCTCACTGGATGGGTTTGTAGCCAAGTGTGAAGCGGCCGATATGAGGATCGGTGCCTCCAAATCCGAGACCATGGTCTTGAGCCGGAAAAGGGTAGAGTGCCTTCTCCGTGTTGGGGAAGATGTACTGCCCCTAGTGGAGGAGTTTAAGTATCTTGGGGTCTTGTTCACGAATGTGAAATCTTATCTATCTGACCGATTTCAGTTTGTTCATGTTAATGATAGATCTTCAACATGCTCAAAGGTTACCTGTGGAGTACCACAGGGATCAGTGCTAGGGCCAATTCTATTTACTTTATACATGCTCCCAATTGGTAGAATTATTAGACAGCATGGGATTAATTTTCACTGTTATGCTGATGATACCCAGCTATATCTGTCTATAAATCCAGATGAAGCTAACCCATTACATAGATTACAGGCATGTCTTGAAGACATAAAAACCTGGATGACTCTTAACTTTCTGCTTCTGAATGCAGACAAAACAGAAGTTATAGTCTTTGGACCAGAGTCTTTGAAAAATAAGCTGATTAGTCAGTCACTTCATTTGGATGGGATTAAACTGATTTCAGATAATAAAGTAAAAAATCTTGGTGTTATTTTTTATCAGGACCTGTCATTTAAATCCCAGATCAAAGAGGTTTCTAGAATTTCCTTCTTTCATCTGAGGAACATTGCAAAAATTAGAAATCTCCTGTCCAGGGGTGATGCTGAGAAACTAGTCCATGCATTTGTTACTTCAAGGCTGGACTATTGTAATTCTTTACTATCAGGAAGTCCACAAACTGTAGTTAAGAGTCTTCAGCTGATCCAAAATGCTGCAGCCAGAGTTCTGATGAAAATTAAAAAGAGAGATCACATCTCTCCTATCCTGGCTTCTCTTCATTGGCTTCCTGTTAAATCCAGAATAGAATTTAAAATCCTCCTTCTCACATATAAAGCCTTAAATGGCCAAGCTCCATCTGATATCAGAGATCTGATTGTTCCTTATGTTCCTAACAGAGCACTTCGCTCTCAATCTGCAGGTTTACTAGTGGTTCCTAGAATTTCTAAAAGTAGAATGGGAGGCAGATCTTTTAGTTATCAGGCTCCTCTCCTGTGGAACCAACTACCAGTTTTAGTCCGTGAGGCAGACACCCTGTCTACTTTTAAGGCTAGGCTTAAAACTTTCCTTTTTGATAAAGCTTCTAGTTAGGGTGGCTCAGGTTATCCTGAGCTATCTCTATAGTTATGCTGCTATAGGCTTAGACTTTTGGAGGACATAGGGACCCCCATTTCATCATTCTGCTTCATTCTCTCTCTGTTCTCCTATTCTGCAGAATCTGTTAGTTCAATCTCTAACCTTCTGCTCTATCTGCTTTTCCTCAGAGTAGCTTTGCCTTGTCTGTTCCTGTTTGGCTGTGACGTCATCCTGGAAAGAAACATCAGCTGTGCTGTGACTGGGTGGATGTGCTTTCTTCGTCCTCTGACATGGGAGCTGGCTCGGAGCTCGTCTGCCTGGCTGTGTGTTTCCTGGACGGGGCCGCCTATTACAGCTGCTTTTGTGTCTCTGCTTCCGTCTTCTTGAACCCAGTCGGCCTCGGCAGATGGCCGCTCACACTGAGCCTGGTTCTGCTGGAGGTTTCTTCCTGTTTAAAGGGAGTTTTTCCTCTCCACTGTCGCTACAAGCATGCTTAGTGTGAGGGATTGTATTGAGTCAATGAGTCGATGCAATCAACTGGTTTTCCTTAGATGGAGAACTTTGTATCAATTTGACTTTATGATCTGGTTGAACTGTGAAGTGCCTTGAGATGACATGTGTTGTGAATTTGGCGCTATATAAATAAACTGGATTGAATTGAATTGAATGAAGGGAAGATGGAGCGGGAGATCGATAGGCGGATTGGTGCGGCGTCTGCTGTGAAGCGGGCACTGTACCGCTCTGTTGTGGTGAAGAGAGAGCTGAGCCAAAAACCAAAGCTCTCGATTTAGCGGTCGATCTACGTTCCTACCCTCATTTATGGTCATGAGCTTTGGGTCATGACCGAAAGAATGAGATCCCGGATCCAAACGGCTGAAATGAGTTTTCTCTGTAGTGCGTCTGGGCTCTCCCTTAGAGATAGGGGGAGGAGCTCAGTCATCCGGGGAGGACTCAGAGTAGTAGAATAGTAGTAGTAGAATTATTTAGCTACCAGGCTAGGCTAACTGCATGCAGCGAGGCTACTGCATGCAGCGAGGCTAACTGCATGCAGCGAGGCTAACGCTGTATCCTGCTTTCTCTGCCTCCTTTTTCAAACGTCAGGATCTGAGCCAGCTTGGACAAAGACAGCTAGGACTGATTTAAAGCACTTTTTATATAAGGCAAAGAAGAATGAACAATCTGGGATTCACATGGAAAATAATAGAATATAGTCTACTGGACTACTGGACCATCTAAAACACAGATTTACCTTCACAAAGCATCAAAAGGGCAAAATTTATGTACAAAAAGTAAACCTGGATATGAAATTATGTTGTTATAATGTTTGTAGTTGTTGGCATTCATATAAATACACTGGTGTGATAAGTTAGTATACGTTTAAATAGATTTTGGTATACGTCTATTTTGAAGTTATAGCCCCCCCTGGAGAAAACTTGAGAGTTTGAGAGTTTTTTTTCTGATTTTATTTACCCAAATTTCTCTTTTTCAGGTCGTGTTTTACAAATTACAGAATGAATCGCTAATGTCCAACAGACCAATAGAAATGCGTCTTTGTTCCTCATTCCAGAGGAAAGTGAACGTGATCTGGAACAGAATTTGAAAAGTACAATTTAAATCTGAAAAAAAAAAACATTTAGAAGAAGAAAAAATGCAATAAAAAAGCTATATATAAAATATTTTGGGAAATATATAAGAAAACAAAATAGAAAAGTTACTCTTAAAACCCTTTTCTGTTTAAGAAGTATATCAATAATGTCCTTCCTAGATTGGATTTTTTTTTTCCAAAACTCCATTTACCAAACATGTTTTTTGCAATAATGAAACAAAATTGACTCGATACTTTCAGAGATCATAAGACTTCATTTTTGCTTGAAGGAGAAACGGAGAACATTTGATGTAAAACATTAATGCAGGGATTTAAGGCGGTGTTAGATGCAGTGGGAGCGGCCACATGGACTATGAACCGTATAATCTGCGATTAGTGACGTACCTGCTGAGGGTCTGGACTTTGTGCCAGGAGAGTTTGGACTCCAGCTGTCGATGTGCCAAAGCAATCACCCTGAAGCCCTGCCTGGTGTACTTCTCCAGGGTTTCTGTGAAAGTCTGAGGCACTGGAGAAAAGGACAGAGTCCTATCAGATTGTCCTTTTCATTAAAATTAAGATTACATACTGTTTACCAAAGGATGCTGGATCGTTTTCAGATGCTAGATAATCGACAAAACAGGAGAGCCTGCCTTGAAGCAAAAACTCTGGCCATTTCTCAATTCACAAGAACGCAAGTACGGACTCGTGTCCTCGCCAAGTATGTTCTTAAGAAGAACACAGGAAAGTCTGGACTCGGGGAGAACGGGAGCTCGCAGAATAAATCTGGGTGAACTGGAACAGAAGCGTACTGATGACATCACCACATTCAAAGCTCGTCTGGAGCTGCATTTCACCTCCTGTTATTAATAATCTCTAGATAATAATCAATTCTTAGCTTTTCCTTTAGTGGGGGAATAATAAAGAACACAGTCAGATAAACACAAATCAAATGAACATTTTGCCAAATAAACAATCAAACCTCCATCAGAGCCAGCGGTCCTTCACACATGGCTATGCAGAGAAAGGGCTGCTGCAGACGGGCTTCCGGGCTAGTCCATGTCACTACCCGATCCATACTGCGCATGCATGAACTGAATAACTGCCGGGAAGGCAAAACTTTGTTTTTCTTACTTTTTTCATTCTTTTATCTTTTTTGGGCAGGGGGCTTCCTTTTGAATATTTTTGTATTTGTGTAATTATTGCATCTTCTAAAAATGAAATACACTTAAAAAGCCTTTGGGAGTTTACTGTGACTGTTCTGAGCATGTCCAAAGATAACCTCACGAAATACAATGGAGAGAATTTAAAACTTATCTATTTCTTCCAGAACAGTCTTCAATATTCTCTATACCATGTAGTTTAGCATTCTTTAATGTTTTAAGTATATAAATGAGTGTTTTCAGTACTGTGATTACGTAGTTTTCCGGCGATCCAGATCTTATTATTCTGTTTGCGCATTTGCAGGATGGATCATGCTTCCTGAACGGATCTGGTAGTGACAGCCCTGGCTGCTACGGAAGGGCTAACGTTAGCCCTGGCTGCTACGGAAGGGCTAACGTTAGCCCTGGCTGCTACGGAAGGGCTAACGTTAGCCCTGGCTGCTACGGAAGGGCTAACGTTAGCCCTGGCTGCTACGGAAGGGCTAACGTTAGCCCTGGCTGCTGCAGACAGGCTAACGTTAGCCCTGGCTGCTGCAGACAGGCTAACGTTAGCCCTGGCTGCTGCGGAAGGGCTAACGTTAGCCCTGGCTGCTGCGGAAGGGCTAACGTTAGCCCTGGCTGCTGCGGACGGGCTAACGTTAGCCCTGGCTGCTGCGGACAGGCTAACGTTAGCCCTGGCTGCTGCGGACGGGCTAAAGTTAGCCCTGGCTGCTGCGGAAGGGCTAACGTTAGCCCTGGCTGCTGCGGAAGGGCTAACGTTAGCCCTGGCTGCTGCGGAGGGGCTAACGTTAGCCCTGGCTGCTGCGGACGGGCTAACGTTAGCCCTGGCTGCTGCGGACGGGCTAAAGTTAGCCCTGGCTGCTGCGGAAGGGCTAACGTTAGCCCTGGCTGCTGCGGAAGGGCTAACGTTAGCCCTGGCTGCTGCGGAAGGGCTAACGTTAGCCCTGGCTGATGCGGACGGGCTAACGTTAGCCCTGGCTGATGCGGAAGGGCTAACGTTAGCCCTGGCTGCTGCGGAAGGGCTAACGTTAGCCCTGGCTGATGCGGACGGGCTAACGTTAGCCCTGGCTGCTGCGGAAGGGCTAACGTTAGCCCTGGCTGCTGCGGAAGGGCTAACGTTAGCCCTGGCTGCTGCGGAAGGGCTAACGTTAGCCCTGGCTGCTGCGGAAGGGCTAACGTTAGCCCTGGCTGATGCGGACGGGCTAACGTTAGCCCTGGCTGCTGCGGAAGGGCTAACGTTAGCCCTGGCTGCTGCGGAAGGGCTAACGTTAGCCCTGGCTGCTGCGGAAGGGCTAACGTTAGCCCTGGCTGCTGCGGAAGGGCTAACGTTAGCCCTGGCTGCTGCGGAAGGGCTAACGTTAGCCCTGGCTGCTGCGGAAGGGCTAACGTTAGCCCTGGCTGCTGCGGAAGGGCTAACGTTAGCCCTGGCTGCTGCGGAAGGGCTAACGTTAGCCCTGGCTGCTGCAGAAGGGCTAACGTTAGCCCTGGCTGATGCGGACGGGCTAACGTTAGCCCTGGCTGATGCGGAAGGGCTAACGTTAGCCCTGGCTGCTGCGGAAGGGCTAACGTTAGCTCTGGCTGCTGCGGAAGGGCTAACGTTAGCCCTGGCTGATGCGGACGGGCTAACGTTAGCCCTGGCTGATGCGGAAGGGCTAACGTTAGCCCTGGCTGCTGCGGAAGGGCTAACGTTAGCCCTGGCTGCTGCGGAAGGGCTAACGTTAGCCCTGGCTGATGTGGACGGGCTAACGTTAGCCCTGGCTGCTGCGGACGGGCTAACGTTAGCCCTGGCTGCTGCGGACGGGCTAATGTTAGCCCTGGCTGCTGCGGAAGGGCTAACGTTAGCCCTGGCTGCTGCAGAGAGGCTAACGTTAGCCCTGGCGGTGCATGCTGGGACAGCTGTCAGTCTGGAGAACGGACAAGTCTCCTCTGATGCATGCTGGGTAAAGAGGAGGGGCAAGAACAACATCCAGGGACTTTGTTCTCAGTCTGCTGTTCTTGTGAATTGGAACAGTACTAGGGCTGAGGCTGATGGCGTTTCACGAGGACATGAGAACACACAAGATTGAGAAACGGTTTCTGATAAAACCGAAAAAAGGCCTGACCTGAGTGTGGTTTGCAAAGGCTGGCCACGACCTCTGGCGCCCCCTTCAGGAAGGCTTCCATGTGTTTTTCTCCCAACCTCCGGACCACCACGCTCATCCTTTGCAGCGCCGAGGAGAAGGGGAACTGTCGCACTATACCGATCTCACCAGACTGGAGCTGAAACATCAACGTTATAAAAAAGAAAAATTAAAGACTGATCTTCCTCCCATAAAACTGCTTCTCTGTCATCAAAGAGGGAACTTTTTCACACTGTGCTTCGTAAAACTAATCTACGGAAGAGGATAAGGGCCACTGATAAAATAAAAAAGTTAACCGATTTTTAAAATTTTTTTCATTATAATATGAATTAATTCTGACAGCTAACAAACATGTTAGCATCAAGCTGTAGCCATGTCTGTTTAGATCTCTTGTTTTAATCACCTTCTGTTCTTCCATTAATCAAACAGCATCACCAGGAATCCCTCAGGGACGTAAAAAGTCGCCTAATTCCCTCATTTTCCACCAATGTGTTCCTGTTCCTCCCAAACATCTCACGTCTTTTTCAGTGAAGCTGAGTGCTCCACATCTCTGCCTTCATGGAGCCCATCTACATTAAGATCCACAATTCTGAGATTAAAGTCAGAATTTTGACTTTTTTCCCATGTTAAACTGAAATAATATTTAAAAACCAGTAAACTTTTTTTATTTTTTTTAGTGGCCGTAATCATCTTCCATACTAATGATACCGTTTACAACATTGTTCCTTTAAGTTCACTGTTCACTCTTTTTGTTGCTTTGTTTGTTTTCAGGTGACAAAATACAACAATGTGTAACTGTTAGAGCAAGGAGTGATTTCTTTTTTCTCATCAATGTTTCAAACACTTTTTTTCAATGAAAATCAAAAAAAAAATCCATAAATGGAAAAACTTCTCATTCAAGTAAATTTGCTATTTTCTTAGATTATTTTTTGTTTTTTAATATTTTTTTCCAATTTCTATGTTTAATGATTTTTAACAGTATTTTTCACATTTCTTTTTTCAGATGGAGTTAAACAAATTGCATTATTTTCCCTGGAGCCTGCATTGAGCATCAATCCTTCCTCAGAGATACGTCTGATCCGGTGAGCGCCACATCTGTTTGGTTAGCTAACAACAACCGTTAGCCACATTAGCTCTGGTGTTTAAGGGGAGCTCAGTGGCGCTCTGGATCACATGACTCCTTCAAGGTACAGATTTACAGATGGACCAGTTTTTAGGAAAAGCATCGATAAGATTCAAGCGCTAAATTTGAAACAAAAAAATATTTTCATTTATCTCAAATAAAGCTAATACTATAATAGTGTCAAAAGTTACACAATGTTGCTTTAACATCCCAAAACTACTTTTTTCTTTCAGAATTCCTTCAGAATTTCTTTTTTAGCTCCAGCTTTAATGCTGCTGAATAATAATAAATAAATAAAAAATCCAACAGCATAATGCTGCCACCACCATGTTTAACTGTGAGGCAGATGAGCAGGGGTTGTTTATTTACACACAGAGTTCTGCATCAAGTAGTTCATTACCATAACATGGTTGCCTTTCTTTCCCTCAATAACAGCTTTCTTTTTCTACTCTTGCTGTGTTCCAAGGACTTTGTGATGTTGTTTGTTGTTGGATTTATAATATTGGATTAAAACACATCTGTTTACCGAGTAGAGGACGGATGCAATGTTCGGACAGCAAGCAACAGAAGCAGCTGGTTTATCTGCAAAGTCAATGGTTGACTTGCATCAAGGCGCATCAAAAGGTCCTACAGGGCGTCTGAGCAGCAGAAGCAGCGCATCGTGAGCTTCTGAGCAGCTGAGGCGCTTCAGAAGCAGCAGCTTTTGGAGTTGGAAAAATTCATCATTAGCTGCTAGACGCCCCACATCAACCAATCAGAGAAGCTGATCTGGGAGCTGGCAGGGATCAGATAATGGACTTGTATCTGTGCTCGTCCTGTTGTATCTCAGTGCTGCATTTGATCCAGTTGATCATAACATTCTTTTAGAAAGACTTGAATATTTTGTTGGAATTAAAGGAACAGCACTAGACTGGTTTAAATCTGATCTATCTGATCGAATTCAGTTTGTTCATGTTAATGATAGATCTTCAACACGCTCAAAGGTTACCTGTGGAGTACCACAGGGATCAGTGCTAGGACCAATTCTCTTTACTTTATACATGCTCCCAATTGGTAGAATTATTAGACAGCATGGGATTAATTTCCACTGTTATGCTGATGATACCCAGCTATATCTGTCTATAATCCAGATGAAGCTAACCCATTACATAGATTACAGGCATGTCTGAAGACATAAAAACCTGGATGACTCTTAACTTTCTGCTTCTTTAGAAGATGCATACTATAGTCATATGCTATCAAGGCATGCTATCATCATATGCTATCATAACATGCTATCATCGCATGCTATCATTGTATGCTATAATCGTATGCTATCAATGCATGAAAATGCTTTAACCCCATAATATCAAGGCATACTATAGTCATATGCTATCAATGTATGCTATCATTGGATGCTTTCCATTATCCATTGTTGAAAAAAAAAAAACAATATGATTTATTCAGGGGTCTCAAAGTAATAATGGGCTGACAGCAAATGCATGACACACTTTTCATATTTATTTTTGACATGCAAAAGCCCAGTATGGTTTTCTTTGCACTAGAAAATGATACACCACTATTTGTTGGTCCATCTGCAAACCCCCCGGGGGCGGTATATTTTTGCTACCATATGCTGGAATATAAATAGAATATCTTGTCTTTAACTCTTTAACAATTTGACTGTATGATCTGGTTGAACTGTAAAGTGCCTTGAGATGACATGTGTTGTGAATTTGGCGCTATATAAATAAACTGAATTGAATTGAACTCATGTACAGCGTGCATACGCTGCCTACTTTACCGTGTTCTGGACTTCTAAACGGTTCTGGTTTCTTTCAGAGATGGTTTGCTTTGGAGGCCGAACAACCGTGGGTATCAGCGGGTCGTGGAGAGCCGTTTCTTCCTCTGTAGACTCTTCTAATATCTAAAGCAAAAAAATTAATGAAAATGCAAGATGGGAAATTCTTCGGGAAACATTCCCAGTAGTCCTGGTTAGACTAAAACCAGATTTATCCGAACATTTCCTTACCCAGCCTGTAGCAGCAAACATCTTGAGATCTAAAGGGTCTCCAGAGAGCTCTCCTTCTATTTTGGTCAGTGAGTGACACGTTGCCATGCAGGCAACAAACGCCGTGTCCATCAGACGCTCCTCCGCCATGCCCGACTCCGCTGAAACAAAGCTGTGGTGTAAACAGAAGATAGATGAGTTCAACCTTATTAAGAGCTAACTGCTTTTCCCAAAGTTCCCTTATGGACCGGCAGTAACTTTCTGTGAATTTTCTGGAAACGCATGAGATACAATACAGGTGCTGGTCATAAAATTAGAATATCATGAAAAAGTAGATTGATTTCAGTAATTCCATTTAAAAAGTGAAACTTGTATATTATATTCATACATTACATACAAACTCATATATTTCAGATGTTTATTTTGTTTAATTTTGATGATTACAAATGACAACAAATGAAAATCCCAAATTCATCATATCAGAAAATTAGAATATTACTGAAGACCAATAAAAACAAAGGATTTATAGAAATGTTGGCCAACTGAAAAGTATGAACATGAAAAGTATGAGCATGTACAGCACTCAGTATTTAGTTGGGCCTCCTTTGGCCTGTATTACTGCAGCAATGCGGCGTGGCATGGAGTCGATCAGTCTGTGGCACTGCTCAGGTGTTATGATAGCCCAGGTTGCTCTAATAGTGGCTTTTAGCTCTTCTGAATTGTTGGGTCTGGTGTATTGCATCTTCTTCTTCACAATACCCCATAGATTTTCTATGGGGTTAAGGTCAGGAGAGTTTGCTGGCCAATTAAGAACAGGGATACCATGGTCCTTCAACCAGGTACTGGTAGCTTTGGCACTGTGTGCAGGTGCCAAGTCCTGTTGGAAAATGAAATCTGCATCTCCAAAAAGTTGGTCAGCTGCAGGAAGCATGAAGTGCTCTAAAACTTCCTGGTATGTGGCTGCGTTGACCCTGGACCTCAGAAAACACAATGGACCAACACCAGCAGATGACATGGCACCCCAAACCATCACTGACTGTGGAAACTTTACACTGGACTTCAAGCAACGTGGATGAAGTGCCTCTCTTCTTTTCCTCCAGACTCTGGGACCTTGATTTGCAAAGGAAATGCAAAATTTACTTTCATCAGAGAACATGACTTTGGACCACTCACCAGCAGTCCAGTCCTGTTTCTCTTTAGCCCAGGCAAGACGCTTCTGACGCTGTCTGTGGTTCAAGAGTGGCTTGACACAAGGAATGCGACAGCAGAAACCCATGTCTTTCATACGTCTGTGTGTGGTGGTTCTTGAAGCACTCACTCCAGCTGCAGTCCACTCTTTGTGAATCTCCCCCACATTTTTGAATGGGTTTTGTTTCACAATCCTCTCCAGGGTGCGGTTATCTCTCTTGCTTGTACACTTTTTTCGACCACATCTTTTCCTTCCCTTCGCCTCTCTATTAATGTGCTTGGACACTGAGCTCTGTGAACAGCCAGCCTCTTTAGCGATGACCTTTTGTGTCTTGCCCTCCTTGTGCAAGGTGTCGATGGTCGTCTTTTGGACAACTGTCAAGTCAGCAGTCTTCCCCATGATTGTGTAGCCTATAGAACTAGACTGAAAGACCATTTAAAGGCTTTTGCAGGTGGTTTGAGTTAATTAGCTGATTAGAGTGTGGCACCAGGGGCCATCAATTTTGAACCTTTTCAAAATATTCTAATTTTCTGATATGATGAATTTGAGATTTTCATTTGTTGTCATTTGTAATCATCAAAATTAAACAAAATAAACATCTGAAATATATGAGTTTGTATGTAATGTATGAATATAATATACAAGTTTCACTTTTTAAATGGAATTACTGAAATCAATCTACTTTTTCATGATATTCTAATTTTATGACCAGCACCTGTAGGTGTTTCCCTACCTGCCATTATCGGCTCTCTGGATTCCCCAAAGGTCGAGGCCGTCCTCAGTGAGGGTACCAGTCTGCAGGATATAAAAAACAAACCCGTAGCATGTGTAGTCTAAGAGCCAATCATTCCTGATTAGAAAATCTGAACATTTAAACCTTTGCTGCAATTAAACTATGGAGGACCAATCCTGCCATAATTACAGAAATAAATAGACTTAATATAAAATTTCTTTAAAAAGTAGCCAATAATATGAATTTGTGTGCCATTAAATGTGAAACAATTATAAAAATAAGGTATTTCTTAATCAGTTGATCAATTATTCATCTAAAAATATAGATTTTAACTTCCACTTTTATTTAAACTTTTCTTCTCGCATTTATGCTGACTTATTTTTAACCCACTTATTTTTTCTTATACATTTCTTGAAGTCTTTATTTTGTGTTTTTATTGCAAGTGGGTCTTTTCTGTTCTGTATTCCCACTGCACCCTTTTTTATATACATCAATGATTACTGACCACCTGTTCTTTGTAAGTTGTTCTGCTTGATATTATTTGCACCTTTAAAATAATAAGTACAATTCAAGTGACAAAAAAAAAAAGTCATTTGCAAAATTCAATTTTAAAAACATAAATTAGAAAGAAATTTAATAAAATCTTTAAAAAGGACTTTTGGAAATATTAAAAAAAATAAAATAAAATTTGAAAAATATACTTAAAAAGTTTTTTGTAAGAGAATATGAGAAAACAGGAACATTGCTTAGAAAAGTTTTTTTTTATTAAAATTTTCTTTAAAGTTTCATATCTTCATTTCATTTTCTTTTTCCAAATTAACTTTGGTCTGCGATAATAATGGAACTAAATCCCCACCATAGTTTCGGAAAATTCTGACTTTGCAATGACAGACTTGAGCTGGGTGTTTTTCGAATTTAATAAATCCAAATCTTAATGATTTTCCTAGAAACATTGTGGATAAAGCTCACATAGCGAGTGTGGACTACCTTGTCAAAGCAAACCAGGTTAAGCTGGCCACACATGTTGATCCTCTGAGGACTGATGCAAAAGATCCCGACCCGCTTCAGACGCCGCTGCGCGTACACAATGCCGGCTGTCATGGCTGCCGGTAAGGCCGGCGGAACGGTGATGGTGATGATGTCCAGAGACTCAATGATGATCGTTCTAGCTGAAACCTGCAAATGTTGGAGAAAGCCTTAAATAAAATAATCTCCCACTGAACTTAATAAAGTACAGCTTTTGTTTAATCAAATACATTCAGTGGGGGGCAGCCTCATCTTGCATGGCACTTTCAGATGTGACACCATCCTAGAGGGAGGCACGAACTGAATGGCTGTTGTCAAATCACAGATTACGCTACATTAAAGATGATAAAGTTGGGCCTGTTTTTCAGTAGTTTGTCCTGTGTCTCTCCTAGACATAGCTATAGGCTCAGCTTTTCAGTTGGACATAGAAACTCACCAATAAAAAACGTTACATAATTCTGCCTTGGATTACCCTACTAGGGGCATAGCTCCTAGGGTCAATAGGACACTCAAACACCTCCACCATGGTAAGGTGCCAGCCCAGGGAAGGGTAAGGGGTCTTTGGGCTGCTCTTTGTCTGGTCCCTCACCTAGGACACCGAAGGCAGAAAGGTCCTAGGTGATGGACCAGAAAAAGAGCAGCTAAAAGACCCCATATGTTGAGTACAATAAATGGACGTAGTGCTGTCTTGCATGGACTCGAGTCACCAGGGTCTCACTCTGGTGCCAATCCTGGAGATGGGGCACGCTGGCGAGTACCTGGTGGCTGGGGTTTCTCCCATGGAGCTCGGCCAGGCACAGCCCCAAAAGGAAACATGGGTCCTCCTTCCAATGGGCTCACCACTTGTCGGAGGGGCCATAGGGGTCGGCCGATTGGGTAATGTGTGGCAGTTGAGGGTGGGGACCTTGCTGTTCTAATCCTCAGCTGAAGACGCTGGTATTTGGGATGTGGAATGTCACACCTCTGGTGGGGAAGGAGCCTGAGCTAGACTTACCTCAACACATAGCTCTTGAACTAGTCTCCTTGAGAGAGTCTGGACATTATTCCACCCTGGAGTTGCCACTGGTGATAGACTCTGAGCAGGAGTGGGCATACTTGTTGTGGTTTACCCTGGTGAACAAGAGGATGGCCTGTCTCCACAAAAGTGTTGGGGAACGGGTTCTGACTGTTGTTTGTGCTTATGCACCTAACAGCAGATCAGCTTAACCACCCTTTTTGGAGTCTTTAAGGGGAGTACTGCAAACACCCTTCCTGGGGACTCCCTTGTTCTTCTGGGGGACTTCAACGCTCACGTGGGCAATGACAGTGAGACACGGGAAAGCGTGGCTGGGAGGAATGGCCCACCTGACCTGAACTTGAGTGGTGGTGTTTTTGGACTTCTTTGCTTATCATGGATTGTCCATAACAAACATCATGTTTAAGCATAAGGGGGTCCATATGTGCTCTTGGCATCAGGACACCCAAGGCCGTAGTTCAATGATCTAATTTTTATTGTTTCATATGACCTGCAACCGCTTGTATTGGATATGCGGGTACAGAGAGGGGTGGAGCTCTCCACTGACCACTACTTGGTGGTGAGCTGGCTCAGATGGTGGGGGAGTATACCGGTCAGACCTGGCAGGCCCAAACATATTGTGAGGGTTTGCTGGGAACATCTGCAGTCCCCCTTGAGACTAAGCTTTAACTCCCACCTTTGTGAGAACTCTGAACACGTTCCAAGGGACTTAGACTTAGACAGACTTTATTGTCATTTTATACACACAGAGTGTATACAAAAAATAAATTTTGTTCAGATTCATATCATGAGTCTGAGTGGACCATGTTCCATGCCTCTATTGAGGCAGCCATTCAGAGTTGTTGCCGCTGGTGCCTGTCACGGCAGCAACCCTCTAACACACTGGTGGACAGCAGATGTGAGGGAAGCTGTCAAGATGAAGGAGTTCAATGGGGCTTTATTGGCCTGTGGGACTCCGGAAGCAGCTGTCTGATCTGTTTCATTATGCAGTAAAATGGATACGATGTGTAGAGACCTCTGGAGGAAACAGTTTGATCAATGTCTAGTAGTAAGGTCTCACTGACTTGTGTGTGTTTAGTTACTGTAAAACCATCCATCCATCCATTTTCTTACGCTCTATCCGGGGCCCGGTCGCAGAGGCAGCAGTCTAAGCAAAGTTGCCCAGACTTCCTGATCCACACACACCTCCCCCAGCTGCTCTGAGGGGATCCCGAGGTGACACTGGGCCAGCTCAGAGACATAGTCCATCCACCAAGTCCTGGGCCTTCCACCAGGCCTCCTTCCAATAGCACATGCCTGGAACACCTCCCGAGGGAGGCGACCAGGAGGCATCAGGAACAGATGCCCGAGCCACCTCTGCCGGCTCCTTTGGACAAGGAGGAGCAATGACTCTACTCTGAGCTCCTCCCGGTAACTGAGCTCCTCGCTCGATCTCAAAGGGTATACCTAGCCACCCTGCGAAGGAAACTCATTTTGGCCGCTTGTATTCACGATCTTGTCCTTTCAGTCATTGCCCAGATCCCATGACCATAAGTGAGGGTGGGAAAATAGATTGATCGTTAAATAGAGAGCTTTGCCCCCCTGACTCTGCTCACTCTTCACCATGACAGTCCTATACAGGGATTCAAGTAAATCTGACACAGGGATTCTGATACAGTTCCAGTAAATCCTTGAAAAGATTATGCTGGAATTTTTCATGAAGGACTCTACCCTTGAGATGCCCTTGAACAGATTAATTAAGCTTATATAAGCACCCTGTTCTGTAGAATATCCAAGAATATCAATATTTTGTATCCTGATTCAATATACAAAAGCTTTTGTCTGTATTTTAGTATGAGGTAATGTGAAATCACGCTTTACCAGTTGTCTTGGTAAAACAAACAAATACTTCATGTCTCTGGAAATGGAGCGTAAGAAACCTTGTTCATGATGCTGAGGACGATGGTGTAGATGAAGCCGATCCCTGCCACACCAACCAGACACAGCAGGAACAGGTATGCATCCCGGTACAGCTTAAAGTCTGTGGGTTTAGGGTAGAGGATAGATCGCACCAGCTGGCCCTTCTCAGTGCTGAACCCTGCAGGATCATCACACACTCGTTCAGATCACCTAGCCTTGTTTTTTAAGGTTGAACGTGTCCCGGTGTGTGTGGTCCATCGGTCTCACCTGTTCGGATTACAACAGCCTTCACCAACTGCCCGGCGTAGAAGCGGGTCTGGATCACATGGGTACCACAAAAAAGTGTGTGTCTCTTGTGTTCCTCCATGTTGTATCTCCTAGCTGCCTCGTCACCTGAACTGGGCAGACTGGTTTTGGTCACTGGGACGCTTTCGCCTATGGACAGAATGTGGGGAAACAACACACCCTTGAAATGAGATATGTTGTGAAATGCCACTCTATAATTAAACTTATTTGACAGAATGTCGGTAGCAGGTCATCTAGTTTAACAATACCTCCAAAAAAGGGTTATTTGTCTGTCCCCTTTAACAACCCCCCTTTCGGACACTTAAGACAGGTATGGCGCATTGAAGGCTAGCAAAAGAAGCCAAACGACCCCCATTCCAAAGGAGTGGACCTGTTCGTACATTCCAATTTGCATGTTTTCAAAACAAAAACCAGGCTTTGTTGGGCTACTGTATAAAGCCTCAAACTCAACATTATTTCTGACATTTTAAATTAAAAAAGCTTCCTGGATGGGAAGAGAAACATCTTCAAACTTGGAAACAAAGTCCAGTGGATTGTTTTATTTATTTTCTACCTTTTGGAATGACTATGACCTGGACAACTGAGAATCTTCACCACCATATCTGTCTGGTTCATTTCTAGCAAGTTCGCCCTGCCATGCCAAGCTTGGTTTTTTTTTTTTTTTTCCCCACATACACTATATTGCCAAAAGTATTTGCTCACCTGCCTTGACTCACATATGAGCTTAAGTGTCATCCCGTTACTAATCCATAGGGTTCAATATGACGTCGGTCCACCCTTTGCAGCTAGAACAGCTTCAACTCTTCTGGGAAGGCTGTCCACAAGGTTTAGGAGTGTGTTTATGGGAATTTTTGACCATTCTTCCAGAAGCGCATTTGTGAGGTCGCACACTGATGTTGGACGAGAAGGCCTGGCTCTCAGTCTCCGCTCTAATTCATCCCAAAGGTGTTCTATCGGGTTGAGGTCAGGACTCTGTGCAGGCCAGTCAAGTTCATCCACACCAGACTCTGTCATCCATGTCTTTATGGACCTTGCTTTGTGCACTGGTGCACAGTCATGTTGGAAGAGGAAGGGGCCAGCTCCAAACTGTTCCCACAAAGTTGGGAGCATGGAATTGTCCAAAATGTCTTGGGATGCTGAAGCATTCAGAGTTCCTTTCACTGGAACTAAGGGGCCAAGCCCAGCTCCTGAAAAACAACCCCACACCATAATCCCCCCTCCAACAAACTTTACACTTGGCACAATGCAGTCAGACAAGTACCGTTCTCCTGGCAACCGCCAAACCCAGACCCGTCCATCAGATTGCCAGATGGAGAAGCGCGATTCGTCACTCCAGAGAACGCGTCTCCACTGCTCTAGAGTCCAGTGGCGGCGTGCTTTACACCACCGCATCCGACGCTTTGCATTGCACTTGGTGATGTATGGCTTGGATGCAGCTGCTCGACCATGGAAACCCATTCCATGAAGCTCTCTGCGCACTGTTCTTGAGCTAATCTGAAGGCCACATGAAGTTTGGAGGTCTGTAGTGATTGACTCTGCAGAAAGTTGGCGACCTCTTCGCACTATGCGCGTCAGCATCCGCTGACCCCGCTCCGTCAGTTTACGTGGCCTACCACTTCGTGGCTGAGTTGCTGTCGTTCCCAAACACTTCCATTTTCTTATAATACAGCTGACAGTTGACTGTGGAATATTTAGGAGCGAGGAAATTTCACGACTGGATTTGTTGCACAGGTGGCATCCTATCACAGTTCCACGCTGGAATTCACTGAGCTCCTGAGAGCGACCCATTCTTTCACAAATGTTTGTAAAAACAGTCTGCATGCCTAGGTGCTTGAATTTATACACCTGTGGCCATGGAAGTGATTGGAACACCTGATTCCAATAATTTGGATGGGTGAGCAAATACTTTTGGCAATATAGTGTATTTTTATTGGAGAAACATTATAATGTTTTCAATCATAGAAATACAATTTACATTTTCCCTTTTTTTTTTTTTTCCTAAACACATGCATATGCACACGGAAACATATACACTCAGAAAAAACGAGGATAACTACACAAAAACAAAGCAAAAACCCACTCTAATAATAAAGTAGAAGAAAATAATTAAATTGAATTACAGTGCCGTGTGGTAAACAATGAACCACCCCCACCCACACCCCCACTCGGCTCAACACAACAAACAAACATAGTACTGGTTATCTGTTCAATATATATAAAAAAAAATACAACAAAAACAGACACACATTCAATTGGGTAAAACGTCCAAATTAGTAAAATAAGAAATAAAAGGTTGCCATTTGTGGAAAAATTTGACTGTACATCCTCTCATTGTGAATTTAATTTTTGCAAGTTTCAGAAAAAACATGACATCTTTGAGCCATAGAGAGATAGAAGGATATCTGGCAGACTTCCAGTGTAACAGTAAGGAACGTCTTGCTAGTAAGGATGTGAAAGCTATAATGTCCTTTTGTGTAGGGTTAAGTGCAATTGAGGGGTTAGGAATACCAAAAATAGCAATCAGAGGACAAGGCTGAAGGTTTACCCCAAGAACAGAGGACATAATAGTAAAATAATCCGCCCAGACACTTTTCAAATCAGGACAAAGGAAGAACATGTGGCTAAGGTGAGGATTGAGAGCCATGACATTTATCACATTTGTCTTCCACATCTGGATACAGTTCAGATAATCTTGACTTGGAGAAATGTGCCCTGTGTAAGACCTTAAATTGAATAAGTCCAAGACGAGCACAAGAGGTGGTAGTTCGTACCCTTTCTATGGCCTGTTTCCAGGACTCCTCATGTAATTGTATTCCCAGTTCCCCTTCCCATGTACACTTAAGTTTACCATTAGAGTGGTTGCCAAAAGTTAAGATGATATCATACAGCTTTGAAATGATTCCTCTATGATGAGGAACAAAAGAAAGCATGGTTTCCCACTGGTGTTCTGGAGGTAGAGAGGGGAAATTAGGGAAACACTTCGCCACAAAATTGCGAGTTTGAAAATAGCGAAACAAGTGAGTAATAGGGAGGTTATAACGAGATGACAAATTGGTAAAACTATCAAAAACACCCTCTACATATAAAAATCTAAGTTGTGTAATACCCTTGTCATGCCACTCTTTAAATGTCGAGTCCAAAAGTGATGGAGGAAATAGATGGTTGCTATTTAAAGGACCCAAGGTCGATGCAGCCACAAATTTAAAGTGCCGTCGAAATTGGTACCAGATTTTGAGAGTATTAAGAACCACTGGATTATCGGTATATAGAGAAGGCTTTGTAGGTAAAGAGGAATAAAGTAAAGCAGGTATAGAGGACCCCCTACAGGATGATAGTTCCAATTTGCACCAAGAGGATAGAGGAGATTTTAACCAGTAGCAAAGTTTATGGATGTGAGCAGCCCAATAGTAAGTTAGAAAATTGGGTAATGCAAGACCCCCACTAAGATTGCATCGCTGCAGTAAAGCTTTACGAACCCTAGGTGGTTTCCCACCCCAGATAAAAGAGCAAATTATCTTATCCAGTGAAACAAAAAAATGTTTTGGCAGAAAAAGAGGAACGGACTGGAATAAAAACAAAAATTTTGGTAAAATGTTCATTTTAACAACATTGATCCTGCCAATTAGTGAAAGGGGGAGGTTACCCCATCTCTGAATATCGGATGTAATCTTTGACATAAGGGGAGTGAAATTAGCAGATGCAAGGCTAGACAGAGAACGTGTCACATTAATACCTAAGTATTTAAACCCTGATGGACTGAATTGAAAAGGTAAATCTGACTGTTGAATATGACATGCTGCCGTGTTAATAGGGAAACACTCACTTTTCGCCAGATTCAATTTATAACCTGAAAAGTTCTCCAAAATACTTAAGACAGCAGGAATAGAAGATGTAGGATCGGTTATATATAATAACAAAGCATCCGCATACAGCGATAATTTATATTCAATTCGATTACGGGTGATTCCTTTAAATAAGGAGGAGGATCTTAATGTAATAGACAAAGGCTCGATAGCAATGGCAAAGAGCAAAGGCGATAAAGGACAACCCTGGCCACACCCACGTCCAAGGGCAAAATAATCAGAATAAGCATCATTGGTATGGACACTGGCCTTAGGGGATGAATAAAGGAGGCGGATCCAAGAAATAAATTTGTCACCAAAACCGAATTTCTTTAAAACCGCAAACAAGTACTCCCACTCCACCCTATCGAATGCCTTTTCGGCATCTAAAGAAATCACAAGTTCAGGAAGTTCAGCCGAATGTTTAGAGTAAATTATATTGAAAAGTGTTCGGGCATTAAAAAACAATTGACGTCCCTTTATAAAACCATTTTGCTCCTCGGATATAATATCAGGAAGCACATTCTCTAAACGGGATGCAATTACTTTAGCCAACACCTTTACATCGGCATTAAGCAGAGATAATGGCCTGTATGAACCACATGAGGTTGGATCCTTGTCCTTCTTAAGAAGGAGAGCAATAGTGGCTTGTGTCAAGGTTGGTGGTAATAATCCATTTTCCAAGGATTCATTGAATACTGATAAAAGCAGCGGTGCCAATTTACCAATAAAAGTTTTGAAAAATTCAATCGGAAACCCGTCGGGGCCTGGGGCTTTGTTAGATTGCATAGCCTTAATTGCATTTGATACTTCTTCAAGGGAGAGTGGGGAGTCCAAATGCACGGCAGTATTAGTGTCAATGACAGGATTCGATAGATTCTGAAGAAATTTATTCATTTCTGTGTGTTTTGTAGGAAATTCAGACCTATATAATGAGGAATAAAATGATTTAAAAATAGCATTGATTTCCAGGGGATCTGTAATAATAGTGTCACACCTGTTTTTAATACTAGGTATCAGACGGGAAGTGGCCTGTCGCCTTAATTGATGTGCCATTAAACGACTTGCCTTGTCGCCATGTTCATAATATGAGCCACGAGTGCGTAACAACAAGCGCTCTGCCTCTTTAGTAGAGATGAGGTCAAATTCTGCTTGCAAATCAACACGATGCTTAAGCAATTCCGGAGAAGGGTTTAGTGCATGTTTTCGATCAAGGTTACTAATCTCAGATGCAAGTACATCAAGCCTAGCATTAATCCTTTTATTAGAAAGAGCAGAATATGAAAT